GTCTTCTGTCACAACCTCACAGGATAATACAAACATCCTGACAGCACCACTCTTACAGAAAGTGTGTTTTCAGAACATTTCAGAGGTTCAAACCCACAATTTCATTCTTACTGTGTAGAATGAGGATTTTTTTTCTCACCTTTTCTTCATTTGCAGCCAATAACGATTCCATTCCTATCTTCAGTCGCTGAACTTCTTGATCTAAAAATGTTTTTAAAATGTTATAAGAAAAAACCCACTTGCTATATTTAGTGTAAATATATATTTTGTGATACTCTCCCTATGTTCTTATAACTAACCAAAACCATATCAGTGGCAGGGCCAATGCACTATTAAACTACATTTAACTTAGAATTTCTCAAAAGCTGAACTATTTAAAGCATTGCACAACACAAACATCCTGGTTTTGCTTATAAAAGGCTACATAATACTATTTTAAACTATGAAAGTAAAGCACTGGGAAAAAAAGGAAACACTGAAGCTCATTTTGCAAAAGATTAGAGCGTGTTTGCTGTTATATCCTTAAGGAAATAGTTTTAAGTGGGATTGAAAATGAGTTATGTTGCATCTGAGAAAAATATTTGGCAGCTTATGAGAAGTAGTTCAAGGACATTCATGGAACTTGGAAGTGAAAAGTAACAAAAAATTGGTTTGATACAAAGAAAATCTGTAGAATATTTTTCTTAAACATTTCAGTATGAATAACTAGGTTAAAATCTACATCATGAACTAAAACAGAGTTGCCTCACACACAATTTAGTGTTACATGATAAAGGCCATTCAGGAACGCTATAGTCAAATCAGTCAAAACACACCCTCTGAAAATGTATGAGGTTGTAAAAGCTGAACCAAATCCTAACTTTGCTGAACCAAATCTTTCATTTCTTTTCTAGACACTATTCCTAGCAAGTCCTCCAGTACCAACCTATACAGAATCAAGTGTAAGTGATGGAGACAGAACCTGAAATAGTGTATCTGTTGTAACTACCACTCCAGGGATTCGTGCTTTGACATTAAACCAGACCCACTCGTTCACAAAAGACTATGAAAACAGATGTGTCAGACGTAAGAGGGGGGAAAGAAAATCAATATTGCTAAAGAGTATCTGTAAAAAAAAAATTTACAAGTAAATATTGAACATACAATGCCATGGCTAAACTACTTGCAAAAGCTGTAATTAGTTTTTATTGCAGTGATTCTGCAAAATGCACACCTCTCAATGATTAAGTTTTAGGACATGTAAATGAACCTTGCAGACTTAATTACACAGGGCATGCACAGGCACAGCCAAATCAAAAACTGAAGTCAGCAGGCAGTGGGCAAGCAATTGAAAGACTTTTAAAAAATCATGGTCCTGCTAATTTCTCATTATAAATATTAGACTTCAAAGAGGACTGGTGTCAAGGCAGTTTTAGGCACACTAAAGCAAACTTTACTTACAATATTTTTTTAACAACATCAAGTATGGAAACATTTATTCAGACTTTTTTTTTTTAAATTTACTGTGCTGATTTAAGACAAAAACCCACCAAAATTCTTCTCCTCCAAGGAAGAAGACCTTCAGTTAGAGTCATCTTCCCAGATATTATGTGGGGTTTACACATGTGCAAACAGAAAGAGGTAAAGGTTAAGCTTTGGCTCTGTTAACCTTGACATCTTCCCTTTGAAGTCCAACGATCTGATTCGTGAACGACTTTCACTTCTGAAGTGAAATCTTACTGAACAGGGCAAGTAGCTGTCTGCTTGCTGCAAGCAATGGAAGCAGTGTCTCATGTATATTACAATTAGACAGCCAAATCTAAACAGACATTGAATTACTGCTGCAGAATGCATCTGAGTTATAATTGGTGTGAAAAGAACAGTGAGGTAAAGCCAGAAGGGAATTGCAAGGCTTACGTTTTTCTTTTAGCCTTCTCCTATAAACTTCCTCTACGATGGGAAATGGTGAGAGTCAAATAAAGTATGTAGAAAAAGCACATATTAGATAAATTTTGCAATTTACTTCGAATATGCATTCTAGCATACTACAAGTACATTGACATTATTTTACAACTTTGAGAAGACCACCTAAAAATCTCACAAATCAGTAATTTTTTTTTTGCAGAAGAATTATTACTGTTACCATTCAAATACAATCTAAGTGCTTTCCTTGAACATAGTCCAAAGAATCCACAGGGTTTGGTTCTTCTGTCACTGAAATCAAGGACAGTTTCACCCACCTTCAGCATGAACAGAACAGACACACTACTAGAAGTTGAACAGTGCTGAGCTCTTGATTTATTGTCAGACCACTACCTTTCCTTTGAAATACCATAAATTATTTGGGAGCCTCATGGGGAACAACATTCTATTAGTAGAAGAGTTCCTCTACAAACCACTGCTGTTAGACAAATGAACTTTCTAGTCAGACATGCAGTTCTCTACATGCACAAGCTCTGCAGTTGAGTGAAATCAGCACAAGTATATGTTAAGTCCCCTCCTTGGAATAAACCACAGGAGACTCTGGGTAAGCCCTGAGAAAGATGTAGCACAGCACCTGAAAATTCACATCTCGACCAGGGCAGCCTTCAGAAGCATTAGTTAACACCCACAGAAGAAGTTAGTGCAGCTCAGCTGATGCACTGTGGTAAACTACACACAAACATTCCTGCCTGGAAAAGTGTCAGTGCTGCAGAAGAACAAGGTCACTAAAACCACATTCTCATGGCCCAGCAAGGGACAGAGGCCCCAGGGAGTCAATATTTTGGAGAACTACGACATGACTGGTTGAGACCAAAGGCTAAACAAACTGGTTTATTTGCCATTGTCCTGTATGAACAGTGCAGTCTTAAAACAGAAACCTGCAATATCATAGAATCCTAGAACAGCTGGAAGGGACACTTAAAGTCCATCTGCTCCAACCTTTCATGGGACAGGGACCCTAAAAGTGACATACTTCTGAAGAAAGGAATCAATGACTCTGTTTTGGGATCATTGGGCATTTAAACATTATGCTTAGCTACTACTGTGACTTTTTTTTTCCTTAAAAAAATAGAAACTGTAAGATTTCTCAAAGAAATTTTCCAGGCATACACAAGAAGTAAATTCCTACTGAACTGCAGTGACGCTTTACAATTACAAATAAAATACCAACAGAAAAAGTTTCAGTGCCTTGAGGATACTTATTTCAATTTGTGCTGCTTCTAGATTGGATAGAATTTCACACATTAAAGGCCTCAACTGTACCAGAACACACAATGAATTTACACCATTTTCCCTCCCAAAATAAATTCTCTAAGTCCATTCTTGTCTCTCCTTGTATTCCTTGGAATAAATCCTCAGCCAAGCTGCTACCAAAGCAAAGCTAAAGTACAGTTTTGGATTTTTAACATTGTTTCCTCTCCTCTTACCTCTTTCTGCCACTTCACTGTATGATGAGGTCCTAGAGAGCTGACTTTGCAGGCGTTCTATCTCTGCATCTTTGAGAGCCAATTGCTCTTGAAGCTGGGCTATCTCGGCCTGAAAGAGAGCACGACAAATTCAGAATAACATCAGCACCAATCCTCTGTGACTCTTTCCTATGAGCTAGAAGATATCCAAGTATAACACCTCGACTGATATCCTGTTACTAACTCAGGGCATTTCATAAACACTGTAACAACTATACATATTTATGCATAGTTTATTTATGGAGCATTATCCTATTCCTATTACAGAAACTCCTTTGCAATTAGCTCTTGGAGAAGACAGTCTTAGGAAAAAGTACCATTTTCAAGGATTCATGTAGGTAAAGAAACTCTGGGAAGTTCTCAATGTTACAATCCTAGTCATATAATAATAATGACCATTATAGGCCAACTCTTGAGCTTTGTATTAAGACTACTAAAAGACAAAAAAAAGCATTTTTAAACAGATACTGTTGTGTTTTTTTTTTTTAATCCTAGTTATTACTTATTAGGATAACTGAGAATCTATTAATGCTGAGCTGCCTTCTCAGCAGGATAACAAAACTGTTCTTCCTCACAACAACAAACAGGCCAGAAGGAAAGCATGGCCTGGAAAACAACCACATACATGCAACAAAATACCAGAGTTCATTTACATTTACTGCAATTTGTGCTGCCATTAGACTGGGATGGGAAAAAAAAAAAAAAAAAAA